TATGAGCCATAAATAATTTTTAGAGCAGTTGGCTTGAATTGTCTTTTGTAGGATTTGCATTATAAGAAGTTTCCAGCATTTAAGTTCAACAGTGAGAAATGTAAGGCTGTGGCCCTTCTATTTAACAGATAAGTCTGTCTTGGGGACAGAGGCGTTAGGAATCCTTAACAGCCAGTTTGCACCATTATTTCAGAAAAATTTTGTGCCTGACTTGCCCAGCTCTGTTCAGGGTTCCTTCCTTCCCCCTGTCCTCTCTCTCTTAATTAAAAAAAAATTACATGGCTCTTTCTCTGCAAAGTAAAATGTTATCATGGCAGTTACCACTCATCCCTTTCCACACATGATCTCTCATACAACACAGAACCTCAGGAAAAACCTGAGGCCATGGAACCCAAGGACTTAAAGTTTAGAATATTGAATGTGGGGTTTTGTCCTAGGCATTCTGGGTCTGTAATTTTAACTAGTCCACAACCAAATTCACCTTATCCTTGTTCTATTGCTGGTCATCTGAGAAACCATGACAATGAGAAACGCTGAACTTCAGAACGCAGGCCTGGGGAAACCAAACGATTGCACAGCCCAATCTCAGGTGGCTGAAGTTGCACAAACCTGCATTTTACAGATAAACAATTGAGGCCAGAGAAGCTCCTGACTGGTTCAAGGTCACAGAGTGAAGGAGAAGCTAGAATCAGAATGTTGGCTCCTGGTCTGGTGCCCTTTCCATTAGAATCCAGTGGATTAAATCCTTCCTGTGCATAAAATCACCTGGGCAGTGGTGCTTAGTTGGATGAGCAAAGCCCCTCTCCCAACATGTTGACGTGTAAATTCGCTTTTAAGCCAAATCCCTTCCCTTTTAATAGAATTGCTGTCCCTAGTCCCCTGCCATATACAAATTTCCATATAAAATTCTGGATTCTGAAGAGTACCATATACTCTTCCTTTAAATGTGTTAAAATGTAGGATCCTAGGCCTCCAATACAGTGTCTGACTCAATAGGTGTGGGGGAAGCCTGTGGACCTGCATTTTGACACCTCCTTTCCTGTGGTCTGTGGGGCACCCTTGGAGAAGCTGCTCCAGAGCTACCATATAGACTGAGGACTTCTAGAGTCCACTATGCCTTCACTCAGAGAAGCTCTTTTCTTTTCATAAGATTTAAGAACTGGAGACAGGTTGCCAGGGAACACATTTTGAAGAAAGAGTTTCTTCTGTGGCTCCCATCTGGAAGGGAACAACCTCTTTTAATTAGCTGACAGGTTGGGTCTTCTGAGATGTGTGGAAGAATCTGAGGAGTTTGTTCAAAGGTGTCCAGAGAAACGTGAACAAAAAGGCTGAAGTCTTCAGGGAGAAGGCTTTGGGTGCAGGAGTAGAAAATGAGGTACAGGGAGGGGACGAGATGGTGGGAGGTTTTACAATCTCCTTGGAATTTAGCTTTGATCTTGAGGAAAACTGGCAGCTGGGTTCCACCGAACACTACAGCTATTATTTCCTTGAACTTCTGCCTACGTTAATGATGTATCTGGGTCATATTTTCCACAGGTTCCTCCTCATTTAATTTTAAAAGATTTTTTGGTAACAGACTTATTGAAATATAATTCAGTAAAAAAAAATCATACATACAATTCACCCTTGTGTACAAGTCATGGTTTTTAGTATATTCACGGAGCTGTGAAGTCATCACCACAATCAATTTTAGAACATTTTTTTTTTCCTTTTTGTCTTTTCTCGTGACCGGTAACGGGATTGCAACCCTCGGTGTTGCGCCCGCACCGTGCTCAGCCAGTGAGCAGACCGGTCTCTATATGGGATCCAAACCCTTGGCGGGAGCGCCGCCGCGCTCCCAAGTGCTGCACTCAACTGAGTGCGCCACCGGGCTGGCCCAGAACATTTTTTATCATCTTAAAATACCCCATGGGCCGGCCTGGTGGCGCACTGGAGAGTGCACCGCTTGGGAGTGTGGCAGTGCTCCCGCTGAGGGTTCGGATCCCGTGTGGAGACCGGTTCCCGCTCACTGGCTGAGCGCGGTGCGGGCGCAACACCAAGGGTTGCGATCCTGTTACCGGTCAGTAAAAAAGACAAAAAAAAGAAGAAGAAAAAAAAAAAAAAAAACCCATGCCCTTTGGCTACCATCCCCCCCCACCAGCTCCCCATTTCTCCAGCCCTAAGCAACTACTAAGCTACTGTCTCAATGGACTTGTCTAGTCTAGACATTTCATATTAATGTAATCATAAAATATGTGTAATCATATAATATGTGGGCTTCTTTCACTAAGCATAATGTTTTCAAGGTTCTTCCATGTTGTAGCATGTATGAGTACTTCATTTTTTACCTACAAGAACATTCCATTGGGTGGATATTCCACACTTTGTTTATCCATTCATACAGTAGATTGACACTTGGGTTGCTTCCAGCTTTTGGTTAATGTGCATAATGCTATTATTTGTGTACAAGTTTTTGTATGGATATATGTTTCTTTTGCGTGTATACCTAGGAGCGAAATTACTGGGTCAAATGATAACTCCATGTTTAACTTTTTGAGGAACTGCCAGACTGTTTTTCAAAGTCTTCACTTTATTTTTTTAAGTCAACCTGAAATCAATGCCTCTGAATCATCCTATAAGGGCTTAGTTACATACAGCTTGATCAAGCAATTGTCTGGGGGATGCAAAGAATCAAGCCTGGGCTACAGAAACTTCAAGCCCCAATACTTGAAGGTGTTATTTGGCAAAATCTTAATGGTTGGGGTAGTGTTACATGGGTTCATGTTTACGAAAACCAGAAAAAGAAACTCATAGCTGTAAATGTGGCCATAACAACAACAACAACAAAAGAAAATGATAGTACAACCACCCTTAATTAGTAGCTTTGGAAATGGTTTATTGGCCTTATAAAATGAAACTATTAGATAAAACCATGTATGGATTTCAATTACCTCTACTATCATCTGTTTCTGCATGGGGCAAAAGAGTTAATTTTTTTCTAAAAGTACTTAGAAATACTTTAAAGTACTTAAGTGTAAAATACATACAGAGAAGTGTACAAAGCATAAGTTAACTCCATGAATTTTCACAAAATGAACGTCATCCCTGTAATTAGCACCTTCATCAAGAAGAGATCATCACCAGCACCCTGCTGGAAACCTCTTTTCCAGTCCTAATCATCCCCAAGGGAAGGGGGATATCCTGACTTCTAACACCAACATTCTCAGATACAAAGAATACATTTTTAATAGTATGTTTCAGGTGTCAAGGACTGGCCAATGGAGTAAATTTGTTTAGCTGAGAAAATTTCTTAAGACTCAATGTTACTATGTTGCATAGTGTAATACATTCTTAAAAGGTAAATACCTTGAAGCTTGTACGTAAAGTAAAAGGTACAACCTCAACACCCAAGAAGCTTTTAATTTAACACCACCCGCAATTTAAGAGCATATACTGTAAGGCTTTTTTTTTTTTTTAAGTGCATGAAACAAAAAACTTTAAACGCTTATGTTAAAAGACATCTTTTCCCTCCTAGGTTGAAGTTTATTCCTGAGGGCAGTCTGTAAAGGAAGTCACAGGGACCATTAATCACAGGTGCTTTAATAATTTAAAAAGCGTATATGTAAACACATTCACATTGGCATTGTGGGTTGAAGTAAGTAATGACCGAAATAATAACAGCCTTTACAAGCAGAGCGTAAAAACTGATACACATTTCCCTTGGTTTATTGGGCAGGAGGAAAGACAAACTTTCTAATAGTGGGACTAAGTGCAAAGTGACACTGCTCTGGTTCTTATCTGGAAAGAATCCATTATAATCATTTTATGTGTGACACTTTATACGCATTAGAAGTCTTCCGAGGAAAAGGTCTGCTATTAGGGGAAATCATTTTGCAAAGATGAATTATTACTATTTTTAAAGCTCTAAAGATGTCTAATAAATTACCAAAGTAGATTAGGATTTTATTAGGACATTTCCTCAGAAGTTCGAGATTCTGTGTTCTAGCAGGTGATGTCTAGTACAGCTCATGAGTCACAGCGAGGACAGAGCGTTGTCATGCACCCCGCACCGCCCAGTTTTTTGGATGCTGGGTGCTTCCAAGGTAACCCCGTCCTCTCATTCCCGCTCCGGCGCTGGTTCCCGAAAGCACCGCGCCCTCCCCAGCTCCTCCGGGCGGCCCGGCAGCCCCACGCGGGTGCGGCGCAGGCATGTCCCGCGCCCCGCGTCCTTCCCGAAGTCCTGAGTTTACACCCCTTCCCGTCGAGTCGCCTCAGAGCCTTCCTCCTGGCGTCCCCCTCCCCTGGGGGGAAAGTTTAAAGCCGGGCTCGGCTGGTCGCAGGGGTCCCGCTCTTGGCTGGTCCATGAGCGGGGCTGGGGTCCGGGGCGCCTCCCCCGCCTCCTGTCCCGCCCCGGCTCGGCGGTGGGGACAGACTCTTGAACCGGCGGCGGCCAGCTCCGAAGCGCCCTG